TGCACATTCAGATTTAACTGCAGTTCTGGAGGTCAGTGTCCACCTCACGCATAATTTTAAGTGCACATGTCTTAAATCTAGATTTCTTATTAGCAATTATGATTTTATAAAATTTTCGTTTTAAATAGAATATTCAGAATTCACTGTAAAAAAAAAAAAATCTTGTTTGCCCTAAATTTTTAAGCTCAATCGAATTATAATTTTGAGTTCATTGAACTTCTATTATGTTAAAGTGACTTAAAACTGCTTGTGTAACTTATAAAATTAAGTTAGAACATGATTAATTCAGTTTAATAAATTCCAACAAACTAAAAACATATGAAGAGTTCAGATGCAAAAACCGTGCCGTCTGAAGACCAGGAAAAGGACTTATTCTGTGCCATTAAAATGATTTTACTGAACATATACATGGGAGCTTGATAAAAATGCTGATTTTAGAGGAAACTTTTAGAGGGCATTTAGAGGTTTTTGCATCTAAACTCTTCATATGTTGTCACGATTAGTTGATTATAGAATTTTTACAGTGCACAAATGTAAATGATTTTCGAGCATAACGGTTATAAAATGTCAAAAGATTTGTGTGTTTGTGAAATTTGGGCTGTAAAGAGTTTGGAATCATCAAGTAGTTCTGTCATCTCAAGAAAATGACCCTCAGGAGAACTGCAGGGCTCTGTGCTTGGACCGCCAATGATTCAATCTTCTATCGCGTAACCGCCCTCTGGATGTCTGCCTGATTTTTGCTGTTGGTGCGTGGCTTGCTCTAGTAAGTTTTAAGCCAACTTTCATTCTGTGTGCACTCTTCTTGTCGTTTGTGTGTGTGCATTTGGCTGGGCTAAAGCAAACATTGGCTGCATTGGAGCACAGGATATACTCCCACATCTGGTCCTGGTTCATAGCATCAACATGGCGAAGTGGCTTTATGTGTGAATGTGAACCCAGCCCACCCCCCTCATACCCTCAAAATTTGTAGGTCGAAATGATGCCTCCCTCCAGCTACCGCCCCTTTATTTCTCCTCCATTTTGGCTTTTGCTTTCCAACTTTTAGCTTCAGAAATTTAAACATCTGTTAAAATACACTCACTGGCCGCTTTATTAGGTTCACCTTAGTAGTACTGGGTTTTACCCCCTTTTGCTTTCAAAACTGCCTTAATCCTTTGTGGCATTGTTAGTCAGAGATTTTGGTCCATATTGACATGATGGCATCGTGCAGCTGCTGCAGGTTTGACGGCAGCACATACATGATGCAAATCTCCCCTTTCACCACATCCCAAAGGTGCTCTACTAGATTGAGGTCTGGTGACTGTGGAGTACAGTGAACTCATTGTCAGGAAACCAGTCTGAGATGATTCACCCTTATTAGCATGGTAATCCTGCTGGAAGTAGCCATCAGAAGAGGGATACACTGTGGTCATAAGGGCATGGACATGGTCAGCAAGAATATTCAGGTTTGCTGTAGCGTTGGCACAATGCTCAATTGGTATTAATGGGCCCAAAGTGTACCAAGAAAATACCCCTCACAACATTACACCACCACCACCTGCCTGAACCGTTGATACAAGGCAGGATGGATTCATGCTTTCATGTTGTTGACATCGAATTCTGACCCTAACATCCGAATGTCGCAGCAGAAATCGAGATTGATCAGGCCAGGTAATGTTTTTCCAATCTTCTATTGTCCAATTTTGGTGAGCCTTCGGAATTGTAGCCTTTGTTTCCTGTTCTTAGGTGACCCGGTGTGGTCTTCTGCTGCTGTAGCCCATCTGCCTCAAGGTTTGACATGTTGGGCGCTCAAAGAAGCACTTCTGCACAACTTGGTTATAGCACCTTTCTATCTGCTCGAACCAGTCTGGCTGTTTACCTCTGACTTCTGGCATCAACAAAACATGGTCTCTTTTTCAGACCATTCTCTGTAAACCCCAGATATGGTTGTGCTTGAAAATCCCAGTAGATCAAGAGTTTCTGAAATACTCAGACCAGCCTCCATGGCACCAACAACCATGCCACATTCAAAGTTTCTTAAATCACCTTTCTTCCCCATTCTGATGCTCGATGTGAACTCCAGCAGATCGTCTTGACCTTGTCTACTTGCCTAAATGCATTGAGTTGCTGCCATGTGATTGGCTGATTAGAAATTTGCCTTAATGAGCAGTTGGACAGGTGTACCTAATAAAGTGTCTGGTGAGTGTATATTGTAAACATACTGTAGATTGAATGTTGACCCCAGGTAAAGCAGAAATCATATATCACACTAACCAGTTAGTTAAAGGGTTTATGATGGATTGAGGTGCCAAATATCCCAGGTCATGGTTGATTGTTTTGGTCCAAATTAGACACTATTGACTTGAAGTATAGACTATTGACTTTAAGTAACTTCATAGATGCTAAAACATCAGAGGTTAACTAACTCAACTGATTACAATTTGTAGATTTTTACATTATTATTTGTAATTATTTGTAGAAGTTAATCTACTATTAGATTTATTCAAAGTTGGTAATGTGTCTGTTGTGGAGCTTCAAAATAAAGTGTTAGAAGAAAGCAAGCAGATGCTCTACTAAAACTCTATGTCTGCCAGTTCACATGTAGTTTAAAAGTTACTTGTTGTCAACTGAATGTCTCTGGAGGACCGTCAGTATAATGTGGAACTGAACTCTCTCTCCTGTCTTTGTAAGCACTCCTAAGAGATCCCCAAGGCCAGCGAGGATGTGTTTCTATGTTGAAGTGTTTTCAGTTAAAACGTGCCAATGTAATAAATGAGCTCAGAAGAGGCTTGACCACATACAAACACTCTGAGTATGGGATATATCAGCCTCAATCACACATGCACTTATATTTTTGGCTTGTATCTCATACATGGGGTTGCATTACCAAGCAGTGTGTATATTATATCCATCATTCTCCCAGTCTTAACACACAGGGAGAAACTAAAGCATCCATGATGTGGTTTGGTTTGGTGGTGCGTTTGAACAGCAGCGTGCATCCATAGTGGTCATTTTATGAAGGTAAAATGTCTCTCTCTCCCACAGTGTGTCTGTTTGGGTATTAAGTGAAACTCAATTCATTCTTGCTTTCACTAGCATTGGGATGTCCAAATAATTATATTAAAACAGATCGTGCAGGGAGTTTGGTTTTCTTGGTTTGTCTAATCTGACCCAAAATGAAAATAATGTACTTAGTCCCGGTTCGCTTAGCAGGCATACTGTCATATTTTAAATTCTGAACTTTTCAGAGAGAGAAAAACAGAACATATTGGTCGTTCAAAACAATGCTCTCTGCTGGGCTGATCACACTTGTATGTGTCTATGGAGGTATTTTTATCAGCTGAGAACTTGTGAAAAGCTTATAAAATGTGTAATGGAGTCAAAACCGTGCCAATAATCCTCTCCTCACACACAAACAAACAGAAAGCTGCTGCAAGAAGACATGTTTCCTGACACCTGGTTTGAGTTGCAATGGACAACATCTAGAATAAAACAAGAAAAAAAACGTGACTTTGAAATACAATCCTTTCTTCAGTTACACACTCAAAAATGTTTTGCTGTTTGTTCAAACTACTTATTTAAAATGAGCTGAAACATTTTTAGCAGATTTATTTTGGCAACTTAATTAACAACTCAATTGTTTTCTTTTTAAATTAACTTAATTGATTTGTGTCGGGACATTTTGAATGACTTTTGGGGAGCCCTGATTTTTTTTGCAGTGCTATCATTTATCCAAACTTATGTCCATCCATCCATCCATCCATCCATCCATCCATCCATCTATCCATCCATTTATCCAAACTTATCTCCATCCATCCTTCCATTTATCCAAATGTTTGTTCATCCATCCATCCATCCATTTAACCAAACTTATCTCCATCCATCCATCCTTCCATTTATCCAAATGCATGTCCATTCATCCATCCATTTATCCAAACTTATCTCCATCCATCCTTCCTTCCATCCATCCATCCATCCATTCATCCATCTATTTATCCAAACTTATCTCCATCCATTCATTCATCCATTTATTCAAACTTATGTCATCCATCCAATAATCCTCTCCTCACACACAAACAAACAGATTCTGCAGCAAGAAGACATGTTTCCTGACACCTGGTTAAAGCTGTAATGGGCAAAATCTAGAATTTGATCCTTTTTCTTAGTTACACGTTCAAAAAATTGTTGCTTATTCAAACTACGTATTTAAAATGAGGTAAAACTTCGCAATTATTAAGATTTTTTGGGGGGGAGGGACAACTTAACTGTTTTATTTTGAAATTAACTTTAAGTTAATAGAATTGTGTTCGGACAACTTAAATGAATTGTGTGGAGCCCGCCTGACACCTGGTTTGAGTTGTAAACCTGGGTGGGGGGGAGCACCTATTTATTTTATAAGAAGTCAGGGTTCCACACAATTTAAGTTAAACCCCCCCACCTAATTGTTTTATTTTTAAGTTAACTTAATTGATTTGTGTTGAGGCAACTTAAATTGTGTGGAACCCAGACTTTTTTTTTTACAGTTTTTTTTTTGCATCTTGCAACATCATGTTTAGATCTTTAGTACATGTTGCATTCATGTTGCAATTGTACTTTACCTAACTTGATCTTGGTCTTCTTGTTTCTTGTGTTTAACATGAATGTAAATAATGAGTCAATTTTGAAAATGAGCTGGTGCTTTGGATAGTTCACTCACAATTGTGTGTATGCACTTAGAATAATGTTGAGTCATTTCCTAGTGTTAACATTGTTGTGTTGTGATGTTATAGGCACGAGTTGGACACACTGATGAGACTGTTTACAAAATTACTTGTGTGTTTACATTTACAACAGTATGTGTCCAGTAAATTAGTGTGCTTTTAATGGATTTCCATTGAAGGGGATTGATGATAATTTTCTCTACAAAAAAGTTTGACTTCAAAGATACAATTGAAGTTAATCACTGAAATCAGAACGACTGAATGATGTTTCTGTGCTTATGTTACTCTCTCTCACACGCACTCTTTTTGTTTTCTTCTCAGGCCGAGTTACAGCTGAACAGCTCTGTTCATATGTGCAGTTGTTTCGAGACAGTTGGGGGGCTCTGGAAAGTCACAGTGGGGTCCTACAGCTGGGACTGGCTGCTGCTCAAGCGCTCCGTCATCCTGCTCTCCAGCGCTGGGATGCCTGCCTTGCTTTTGAGAGACTTCTCCTGCAGGTTAGCCAATCATACAGTGCACTGATCTGTCAATAACAGGCTGTAGAGTTCTGATTTATGATATCCTGATTCAATGGGCTGGATATCTCCAATGTGAGAGTTGTGATTTCTGTAGGTCTCTTTTTTTACACTCCTTCTCTTTGTCTAGTGCATACTATTCAGATGTTCATGGCTTTAAAGCACAATCAATATTTGCCAAATTGGCATCTTAAATCTCAAAAGGTCATCACAAATCATGTTAAATCAGTTAAATGGCCTGAAGTAGCCATTGATTTTGAAGCAGGATAATCTATTGATTATGTTCATACATACATTTGTTCTGAGGCAGTAATTCTGTAAAACTCCTGGAAGCTTAATGGATTTAAAAGAAGTGAATCCAGACATCTTTCTGTTCGTTGAACCATCCATTATTTCATCTGTCTGTCCATTTATCCATCCATTTGTCTAACCACTTATTCATCATTACATATTTAGCTCTCCATCCATCCATATATCCAGCCAGTCCTATCCATTATTCTGCCAATCTTGCTGTCAATCCTTCCATCTAAAACTGTCCACTGACTCATCCATCCACTCATCCATCATTACATATTTAATTCATGAATTTAGTTGTCCATCCATCAATCATCCATATATTCATCCATATATCCAGCCAATCCTGTCTATTACTCTGCCCATCCTTCTATCCATCAATCATTTTAAGTAAAGCTGTTCACTGACACATCCACCCATCCATCCATCAATTCATCTAGCCAATCCAATCCATTATTCTGTCCATCATTCTGTCCATCCGTTACCTATCAATCAATTCTTCAAAACTATTCACCCACTCATCCAACCAATAAATCAGCCCCATTGATTTAACCAGCCAACGCATCCACCCACCCCATTAATTCATCAATCTGCAATATTAATTCATTCAAACTCTCATCTCTATTGCTTTATCCATCAGTTCATCTATCTATTGGACCATCCATCAATGCAACTAAGCCTATCCATCAATCCAACTAAAAACTGACATCCGTCACTGTCTGTCTATCTATCCATCCATCCAAACTTGTCCATCCATCCATTCATTCATCCATCCATCTATCCATCCATTTATCTAAACTGTTCCATCTATCCATCCATCCATCTATCCATTTATCTAAACGTATGTCCATCCATCCATCCGTGCATCCGTTTATCCAAACTTATGTCCATCTATCCATCAATTTATTTAAACCTATGTCCATCCATCCATCCATCCATCCATCCAAACTTATGTCCGTCCATCCATCCATCTAAACTTATGTCCACCCATCTATTTATCCAAACGCATGTCCATCCATCCAATTATCTAAACTTATTTTTATCCATTTATCCAAACTTATGTCCATCCTTCCATCCATCAATTTATTTAAACTTATATCCATCCATCCATCCATCCAAGCTTATGTCCATCCATCCATGCATCCATCCATCCATCCATCCATCCATCCATCCATCCATCCATCCATCCATCCAAACTTATGTCTGTCCATCCATCCATCTAAACTTATGCCTGTCCATCCATCCATCCATCCATCCATCCATCCATCCATCCATCTAAATTTACAGTATCCATCCATCAATACATCCATTTATGTATACATCCACCTATCCAGTACCTTTCTCTTCATCCATTCATGGTCAGCTGATCATGAACCATGTGTTTGTCTTTGTTTGATTCTAAGCAGCTCCATTAGTCTTTACAAAGAGCTCCATTAGAGTTACAAAGGTTTATTATTGATCTTGGCATCAAAGTTACCTTATTTAAAAATATTTAATAGCAGTTGCTATTCATATTATTGTAACTAACTCAAATAACTTTTAACAAAGCTTTTATTTTTAATGTAATGTGTCCTGGTCACTTTTAACTTGGCTGTTGTGTTTTTCTGTTTGTACTGTGCTCTGTATAGTTTACTCTAGTGTCTGCAGGTGCAGTGAGTGAGTGAGTAAACAGTCTAAACAGCCTAACTGGCCGCAGCTCTCAGTAAACACCCTCTATTTGGCTTTGGGGGAAAACAGAGAGATTCTTTAAGCTTCACTAGAGTTTGGATCACAGTGCTCCAGTGGGTTGTTTAGCTCTCCGAGGATGCAGAAGTGAAAGGAAATGCTTTCACTGAAGCCCGTCTGGAGGCGGATACACGCGTGTGCATCACATCACAGGTCAAGGGTCAAATATGTTGAGGACAGAGGGAGTAAGGGAGACGTGGGTAGAGAGAAAGGACAGAGACCTTAATAGGAAATGTGGAAAAAATGCAACCCAAGAGAGAGAAGAAAAGCCAAGTTCTTCAGAGAGATTTTGGGGGGAAAGGGTTTTAATAGAGGGATGTACTTATCAAAATATCTTAACCACTCTAGAACATGCTGAAACGCGTTCCAGACTAATATCCTCTCGCTCCTCCATTATTAGTTTTCACAGACTGTTTTTGATGGACTTTCTGGTTCCTGTGGCTGTAAAGAGATCAGCGGGAAAGCTCAGCCCATAGGAACTCATTAAAACAAATCAGGAAAAAACACGAGGCAGAAGCAGGCCAGACCAGCCGCATCAGCCAAACCACCAAACAGCTAAACAGCAATCAGCACACAAGCGTGTAAACCTTCAGCTCTCTAGTGGGCATCCTCACTCTGGGGGGAAAATAGAGGAAAGGTGTTTACTAACATGTAAAACATTATGCTAATCACTTGTTTGTGTCCAAGCTGTATAAAATAAGAGCAGCACTATCTTCTATCAAGAAATGAAATATGAAATATAATAAGAAACACTTTTTGATGAGATTTTATTTAGATTTAGGCCATACAAATTTATATCTTACTGTTTTTGTGAAACAAAAGAAGATATATATTTTTAAAAATAACATTGGTCTCAATCCATTGTCATCATACAGACAATATATTTGAACAAAAATACATACAATTGATGATACAGTACGCTGAAAAAGTTGTACTTTGGATTTACTACATTGGAACTACATTACTAAATTTAATTTATTTAAATTCAGCCCATATAAATTGTTTGCAACCAATTACCTTAAATTGTTTAATGTAAATGTTTCTATTTCAAATATGTGTGTTGTTGTTGTTGTTGTTGTTGTTGTTGTTGTTGTTTTTTTTCATCTTCTTTTTTTCAAAAACTTAAGTATCACTGTTTCCACTAAATTGAGCAACAGGCATAGTTTTCAAGAGTGATAATAACATTGTTTCTTAAAGGTGTGGTCCACTACTTTGTCATTTTTAAAACTTTAGTTGATGTGTAATGTAAGCAAAGTCTACAGCGAACAATGTTTGGGGACTAAAAAAAAATACATCCGGGCTTGTGAGATCACAAGTGCTTGAGGTTATGCGCTGCAACAGGGCGTGGCCAGAGGTGCTGTAGTGCTGTAAAGTAGCAAACGCTGCTATTTTCACAGAGCTTGTTCTGTTTCTGTATTTGGGCTTCCAACGGACACGACACAAAGAGAGAAGTGCTTACAGTTTAATTTTAATTATGTTCCAGAGAATTATAAAATAACATATAGCTAGCATTTGAAAAAGGAGAGCTTCCAGAATCTCTCTGTTCAGTGCTGGATTCAGCTAAAAACTCCTCCAACTGACGAAGCTGTGGACTGTGAGCCACAACCTGTAAGTATTTTTACTTGTTAAAATTGATCTAGTACATGCACAGTTCCTAGTGTTAACTGTATGTTTTAGTGAGGTCGTAATCAAGGGGAAATACTGTTTGGCATTAACAGTTTAGCTACAAATTCATATTTATCCGTCAAACCCCTGTAAAAACTTACAATCTTCAGCAGTATCTCTCTATGCTGTTGCTTTCAGTGTCTTTCTAATTATGCAGCAGGTTTTCGTGCATTCTACATCTCAAATAACAAACTCGCAAAAGGTGTGTGAACATTTCATATTACTTACACATGCTTATTCCAATAAATGTTAAAGACACATTTTTTATTTTATTTTAGAGAGCTGGTCTGAGGTTCAGTTGTTTGCTTTTTATTTTCTGACTCAATAAGGCACAAACTAATATGGCTGACAGCTAATCTGACTGACTGTTTACACAGCGCAAAAGCAAGGTCTTGTATGTGCGTGACACTTTTCCTGGTGACATGGAGGCGATCTGCGAATCACAGCACATGTTAGCTGACCAATCAGAGCCTCTTGAGGGCGGGTCTTTTGGAGGAGCTAGGAAATATGACAGTCATTTTCATGTAAGCTGAGTCGCTGTTTATGATCTACTACAAATGTTTTCTACAAATGAAGCATGAGCACACATTGGATTGCATCTTATAAACACAACTAGGCCTTAAAAATACACTGTGGACCACCCCTTTAAAGCATAAAATCAGCATTTTGGACTGATATCTTAAAGATTTTTTTTATTTTTTATTTTTGTGATTGTAGTAATGGCACTGAATTTTCCTGGAATAAATTATGTTAAAGACATCTATCTTGGATATATCTGATGAAGCCCTGAATAGAGCTTTGTCCCTTGAACTTTAGGAGCACTCCATGAGCATGGTTGTCTTTGTGTGACCCAGCCTGTGTGCGCATTTTATCCCAAAAGTTAATATTCAGTAATTATAAGGCTCTCTATGGGACATCAAATATCTGCATTCAGCCTTGAGCGTATCTTGTTAGTTTCTGTTTGCACTCAAAACACCGGCCGTAACAGGATCTCTGACTTTCCCAAGGTAATAAATAAAATGAACCCTTTTCCTCCACCTCACTCTCTCCCCTTGTTTATTATGTTTTGTTTTATTTTCCATTTGTTATTTTCTTCCCCCCTCCAATATTTGCATGCTGGATTTCTGAAACCAGAGGCTGAAATTGTGTTACTGAAAACACTGGCATGAGACAGGCTTATTCTTCAGCTCTTGTGGTTACCTCTCTCACCCTCCTGGGGCGAAGTTCGGGAAAGCTGGACCGTGTTAATAAAGGCATCCGTCCAGGCAGGCCTCACCCTGCTGCACTCAGTCTATAGC